AAGGGGGGGGGGGGGGGGGCGAACGTATGTTTGCTTAGCTGTTGGACCATTGACCACGCATCCTCGAGAGGACGGAGCATGGTTCCCACAGGACCGATCACCGATGGCCAATCGTTCCTTCCTACTTTGCCAAAGGTGGCTCAAAAATGTCTTCCCTAGCCGATCTATCCTACCGATATCACTTCCCGCCTTTTCAACCCACTTCCTATGCCCCAGTACAGCTAACGACAAGGGGGGGGCGTACTAATGTTTTGAATGCCTTAGCTGCTAGACCATTGACCACGCGTCCTCGAGAGGAGGGGGTGGAAGACTACTATTTTGGCAACACGCAAAGGGGGCGGGGAAACGAGCGACATTGTTGCCCGTCGGTTTGGGTGCGGGCGAGGCAACGGGAGATGGTTGGGGAGTACGCTAGGGTTGGGTGGAGAGGGTGGAGAGGGCAAAGAGGGTGCACTAGGCACTCGGGGAACACGAATGATGACAGACAAACGCGGGTAACAAGAAAACCATAAAGGTCAGGAGAGTCACGGCTGTAGCATCCCTGCTTCGGTGAGATTCTTCTAACCAGAGATTCGTGACCTTCCCCTGTGTCACAGCGCCACGGTCGTCAACAGGTCCGCGAAGGAGAGCCAGCGAAAACTCTCATTTGGCTGGAGGTGCCGCCCGATCTCACCATCCGGGAGAAACGAAGCTCGCCGAGACAACAAGCCCTGCGCAATTTCATCGCCCATAGGTGGAGGGTTTCCCGGCAATCATTTAACGCTATCCACCGTGTGCGACTACGGGCCAGACCCTCTGCGATGGACTCGGCAGCGCGTGCACAAACCACGACAACACTCACGGGTTTGGAATCATGACCCGTCCCTTGTGCATCGTCAGCGGCCTGAGCACGCTGAACCACGAGATGAACCAGTGGGCTAGGGTGATCTGCAGCAATAGCGCCACCAGGGCCCCGCTGCGGAAAAAAAGAGACCACCAGTTAACGTTCCCGTCTCCCGGCTGGATCGCGCTGAGCAGCACTGAAGAGGTGCAGTTTCCGGGGAATTCTTGAGGGAAATCGACGTCTGGCGTTGTGCGCGATGGCGTGGTGTCCCACGAGAAGGTTGTCCAATAACGGAAAGAGAGGAAGAGGGGGGGGGGGGAGAGAGACGACGACGAGAACGGCAACGGAGGGGAGCATGGAAATGACTTTCCTTATCGGGCGCATGGAATCGGAAATTTTCCGTGCGGGCAGAGCTTGAAACAAGCACCAACACGTTCACAGTAGTGGAAGCTGACCACGCCCCAAGAAATCTCGGTGACCAAAGACTAGACAAACCCTTACCCCGGGGCAAGTTAAAGATTAATAACCATACCCTCAACGTACACCGTACGCAGCAAACCCGTTGTGATAAAGTTTCTTTTCCTCCAATATCGTAGGTTGCTGAGACTTTTCAGTTGAGGTAAGGTAACACCAACATATCTCATCACTCTTGTGTCAAAGAATAACACAGGTGCCACATATCGCCAGAGAGAAGACCAAACGCAACAAAACCAATGTAAGAACGGACAAGAAGCAAACGCAGAGATAGCAACAGCGAGCATGTTCTACCAACTGTTTTCGCCACGCAACCATGTTAGCAACAGTAGCCACTCTCTACAGAGGGAGGAACAGACAAAAAGACTGAAAAAGTTGCATCTGCGGGTATCGACGCAAACATCGACGAACATCGGGACGAGCAACACAGACAAAAACAACGCAACACTGGAGGGAGAGACGGCCCGTCCGCGCAGACCTAACATGGGAATCGCGACATGGTCACAGAGCGCCCCTTGGTGCACGAAAACCAGGACCAGGACAACACTGACGTGACGGAGCTCACTGCAAGCGGCGTGTGCCAAGCGACAACTATAGCCCCGCTTCCTGAAAATCACCGCCACTAAAACCACCCCCGTGACATATCTGGTTTGGCACAGCAAACGAAAGGATGTTGGCCAGCTTCTGGTTCACCCATGTGGAACGTAGCCTGGGCCAGCGAGAACCGGACATATCGCTCCGTTCCAGCATTGCAGGGATGCGAAGTCAGTGGTCCAACGACTATGGCATGCGTTTACATGAGTACGCCCTCCCCCTGCCGAAATAAAGAGCATGGCGATCGTCTGCAAGCAGTGGCACCGCACCTGCGTCGCCGTAGAAAGGGCCGTCGGTTCTTCCCTCAGAGATGGGTTGCCATGTCGTCTCCACTGCGGAAAGGTTTCCAAGGCAAGCCGTTGTTAGGTTAGGCTGTGACCACACATGGAAACTGACTCCCCCGAGACCAGTGCGGTTGTTGGGGAGGTACTGAACAGAACAACGTCGGGACTGTTGGCCAATGCGACAACAACAACAACGACAACAACAACTCCGACAACTCTGACTCTACTAGCATGCTACATTTCGATTGCAATAGTCTTCTTGAGAGGGAACACTCGCCTCCAATCGGTCTGAAAAAAAAAAACGTATCTACACAAGTAGACTAATCATTCGAAAGCGAAAGTACAGCAGTGCTGGCAAAGATCGTCACCTGCACCGTAGTAGCGGTAGTTAGCCCCGGCCTGGTTGAAGAGGTTGCTCGCAGATATAATTTCCGTGCACGTTTCGCTGGCACATTCACGGCAACAAAATATAGAAACAACACGCACGAGGGAAAGCTATCTCGTTGCAAGGGTGTAGAATCCGGAACACGTATCATAGCTACATACGATTAGTTTTCGCTCGACTGCCGGATCACAAGACATTCCTAGCTTCAGGAAAATAAGACCGCGGTGACTAAGCTCATTCGCATGGGTTGGTGGTTAAGGGTGAGACACGGATACAACGCCATCTGGGGCAAGAGGCCAGACCCAATCCCATCCGACGGAACTGCAAGCGATCCAACGGCGATCTAGAATAAGACCAGAAGTTGCTGGCACGCAGCAGCAGCGGCATGGCACCGGTGGGAATTGGTACTTGCCCTCGATGGAGGCCACCAGTGCATGTCTTCGTGGGCTCCGTACCATTTATTCGGGGGAAACGACGGGGGGGTAACATTATTTCACAATCAGACATGACAACAACAGCAGCAACAGCAGCAACCACAACAACAAGCAGAAGCAGCAGCAACAACAACAACAATTTGGCACACCTGATGACCATGGAGGTGTTAACGAGGAACTCAGGGTCCGCCCAGCACGGGTCTTGGAGGAAGTTGGACCAGATGATGTTGTACAAGCTGGAGTTGATGATCGACTGGAAGAGCTCGTGGCCGTACCACACCAGCACGATTAGCGCGATCCACATCGGCTTGTTCACGTTGCTGAGGACCTCGAAAATCCTCACGTTCCACTTCGCCCTACGCGGGGTTGTTGATGTTGTTGTTGTTGTTTTCTTCACATTGATAGCCGTTCCGGTCTCTGGTCTGCAGTACCTCCAACATCCATACCGTCCCAATTCACGCTGGCGCCTCAGGCGTGCATATTATTAAATATTTTTCATATTTTATTTTTTGAATAGGGGTCGTGCTTGGTTGGGTGCGGGGGGGAAGGTGGTCCGGTCTACAACGGCCGAGTGCGAAGTATACTAGAAGTAGACAAGACGCTCTTTTGAGAATGCCTACGTGACGGTGACAAGAGCTGTTTGCCTGCCGTGCATGAGCTCTCTGGGGTACGAAAAACGTGGGTCCTTGAGACATTCCAGTCACGGTGCACACCACACACCTCTGTCCTATTACGCCGCAACCTCGTTGGTTTCGTCCGGCGAGCGACGAATCAAATACCCCCAACAAAAAAAACAGACCTCCGTAGATCAAATGATCTCATCCCTTTCTCGCACACACGCACACAAGATAAAAGGACTGGTAAATAATGGTATAACACGTTTGATACACAAGGAGGTGTGGCGCTGTGGCCCCCTCCCCCGTTGGAAAAAAAAACAAACAAACGAGAGGCCTACCGTCAGGGCACCCTCACCGTGCTTAGTGCCTTACAAGTCTGCTCATGGCCAACACCTGGTGTTCCAACCCCCGGCTTTGTAGGTGGGTGAAACTCTTCTCTGAATGGTTGAAGACTACCGCATGCATGGTCGTGATACCCCCCCCCCCCGAAACCTGCCCGAAACCACGAAATAATTAAGTCATACGCAGCTGTCATCCGTACGCAAGGAAGTAAGCACAAGATGCCGAACACCCTTAGCAGGATGCAGCGCACCTTTCATGCGACTCGCCAAATACCTCAAGGCGCTTCGCGCTTGGTGATGTGAGAGCCTGGTCCGGTGAGAACCCGGCGTGCTCTGTCCCGGCTTTGCAGGGATGTGAGGTCAACGGTCTAACGACTACCGCATGCACGACTATGAGTACAAGCCCCTTCCCCCCGAAACCACGGAGCCTGTCGCAAACTCACCCGTACACGATGAACGGAGGAGGGACGAGGACCGTGAAGACCAGGTATAGCACGTAGATGCTCGAGGCGAAATTTATCTGAAAGAAAAAAAAAAAAAGATTAAGCGACATGACCCGAAGAATTACTCCGGTTTTTCACGGTCTACGGAGATGGTCGTGTAGACAAAGGGACTACCTTCGGTCGCAATCCAACAGCAACAGCAACAGCAACAGCAACAGCAACAACAACAACAACAACAGCAATAACAGCAACAGCAAAAGCAGCAGCAGCAGCAACAACAACAACAACAACAACAACAACAATAACAATAATATCAACAACAACAACAGCAGCAATAACAACAACAACAACTTTTGGTTATGACCTACCCTCCTGACCAGCACCGATATCGCGCTGGTCGCGTCGTCGAGTGCTGACTGCGCCAGGGTTTCTGCGTACTCCTCATCATAGGCTGTGATGTTGTTGCCGAAGAGGTCCAGAGCCTGCTGAGAGGCATCGTACTCCACCAAGAGTTCGGTCGATTCGATATCTGGACACAAAAAGAAAGCAAGTACGGTTGAGAAAAGAACACCACGGACTCGTATCTGTGGAAGAGATGGATTTGTTTGTTCTTTCTAACAAACAAAAAAAGTACTATGGAACACCATCAACTACTCAACTACGGAATCCACGCCACAGCAAGCGTCGCTTACGTCCGCAATACAGCAACGACAACGAGGACAACAGAGCCAAACCAAGCCGATACACAACAGCAATGAGGGGCAATTCAGTCGATACCAGGACACGGGGCTTCGGTTTCCTCAATAATTTAGGTCGAACAACAATTAAGCAACCACTGAATACAGCGCCAAAACCCAGCGGGCACAGCGGGGAGCGATTCAATGGATACACCTGCACAACGCGGCTTCGACTCAAGAGTGCTCCTTGCGTCCTCAATACATGTAGACCAAACAAAATTTGTAACCGAGCCAAAACCAAGCCGGTAGAGCGAGGAGTGACTCAATCAGAATACAGTAGGGGGCCCGGTTTAGCCCCCCCCTGTTTGGCCACATGCCCTGTTCAGTCACTACAAAACCACTTTGGCACCGCCGCACCCCGGTATTAGGTGTAACTGCTGTATAAATGGCAGTTCGGTTTAGCGACCTGCCCTGAATAGCGGCCACATTTCGTCGTGACACTAGGGGTCGCTAAACCGCCCCCCCTACTGTACCTGGACACGGGACTTCGGTCTCGACGCAAGTGGTCTCCCCGACGATGTCGCCGAAGAAGCCAGCCACTCCTCCCACGCACTCCTCGACGGGCTCGCAGTCGTCTCCGCCCTCCCTAGCCTCTGTCTCCAACTCCTGGAAGACAACAAGGACGACGCAAGAGCGCAGGGATAAACTTCACGTCAAGTGTTGGTTTTCGTTGTTGTTGAAACCAAACGATCAGGGTGTTCAAACATTCTTTCACCCACGTGCACTTTGTATGTACAGATTGCGCCCGCACTGGCGCACTTAAAAACCTCTACTAAATAGTAGTTTCGGTCGAGGCTGGGGTTCTTACTGTATTCCTGGGTCATGCTACGAATGGTCGCTATATAGGTTTTAGTGTGGGGGGTTCTTAGCCGAGTTCAAAATGATGCTCAAATTCTCAGCTTCTGAACCTTTCGAGGTTCAATTTCTTAACTGCTAAGTTCTAAAAGTGGGGGCGCTATCTGAGGTAGAGAGCAATCTGCGGGGGGGGGGATATTTTGAACGATAGATGGTAAAGCGAGCAGACATGATCGCCACCGCACAGCAGCAGCAAGCTCTCTCTCTGTACCTGTCGTTGTTCCTCGTTGAGGTCGTAAGGAGACGGCCACTCGAACGCCAAGCCTAGCGCGTTCAGCCCCTCCCCGGTGTAAGTCTCCGCCGCTTTGAAGTAAGCCGTCGCCGTGATGTTTACCGCCAGAGACGCTGTGGCTCGCGCGTTGTAGTAGCTGTTGGGTGTCGGGGGCACGAGGAAAGGCAAGAGGAATGCGAGGGCGCGAGAGAGGTGGTGCTGCAGTGGCTGCTGGTGCGAGGGTTCGAGGGAAGGATACCGTGCGACACATGAGGGTATTGTTGTGACTTCAAGGTCGTGAAGGTACCGTGCGACCAGCGAAGATAAAACGTGACGAATGGGGGGACAGTGCGACAATTGAGGGTACAATATGAGGAATGAGGTTTAAAGCGGCGAGTGAGCTACAGTGCCACAAATGAGGGCATGGTGTGACGAAAGAGGGTACAGTGCGATAAAATGAGGGTACACTAGTGATATTGATAACAATGGTCACAGGATAGAGAAAGTCAGACTCCTAGCCGGAAGCGCGAGGAGTGGAGTTCGTCTCAGATAATAGCGCCAGGAAGAGAGTGAGGGAGAAAGAGGCTAGCGCTGTGAAAGCGTTGTGCCCCGCAGGGGGGAGTGCGGAAATGACGAAGGGGGTTCATCGAAGCTGTACTCGTCGTCCAATGTGCATGTCATCCTTGTTTCTTGTTTCCAACGCATCCGACAGAGGACTCTGCAGCAACCTAACTATGTCAGACACCCCGGGGAAGCGACTGATTCGTTCCCTAGCGAGACGGGAGTACAAGCACACTCCCGGGCAACAGCCTACCGCCTAAGCTCACTTGGTGATGTTCCGCATGAGCTCCATGTTCGCGACGAGAGAGCTGTCCCGGGTCTCGCACAGGTCTGGCTGGACGTAGATAAGCTGCACCGCGCTCGTAAGCCCGCTCACCTAGAATAGTCGCGGGCATAGCGAAGGGTGTTTGCTGTTACGGCGGGAACATACGACATACTTCGCTCGCACGTTGTGTGTGTGTAGTACCGCGGAGCTGTTTTCGGGTGCCAGGCACGTCGCGACATAGCTTGCATAGCAACGTTGCGGCTCGAAAGGCCAAATGCGTTTAGAAGGTTGCCGACGTACTTGGGCAGCTACATCAACGCGGCGTGTTCGATGATGGCATGTTCCCCTTCGCGGACTGAGTGACACTTTTTGTGCGATCGAAGCTTGTCCTGGTGTCATCCTCACCAGCTATCTCTAGTAGGCATTTCTTACCGTTCCCCTCTATGAGCCCATCTACGCTCTTGTCTTTGTCGTGAACATTCGAGGAAGTGCTCGGCGGAGGTAAGAACGGCGATCTTTCGGTTGAAACAAGTTGATAGACACCAGTAAGAGGGCACGCGTGCACGCCCGGCAGAGTAGCAGACACGCAGTCACCCCCCCGCACACACGCTACGTACGCCAACGGAGCTCCCAGAGTACAACCATCCAACACGGGCGAGGCGAAGCAAGAAACTGCTCTTGTTGTGTGGATTGGTTGATGTTGCAGCAACAGGTCCAAGACAAAAAGAGGCTCGTCATCGTGGCAGCGCAAAAAAAAAAAAACTCACCGTCACGGCCGTGATTACCAGCAGCACTGCAAGCACGCCCGTGGCACAGTAGTCCCTCATCCCGCTCCCGGTGCTGCAATCGTATCCCCACTTGACTACCTCGGCCTTCCTGGGCGTGGACTTGAGGTGAAGCAGCCCGAGCAACGCCGCCTTATCCTCCCTAACCTCGCGGCTGCTACTAGCCCTGCTCCTAGCCCTGCTCCTAGGCATCTTCTCACAGTAGTACCGCGAGATCTGAAACCGCTCCTAATAACAAGCAAACGATGAACAATCCACCGTTTTTTTTGCGTCCGTCTGGGAAGGAGCTCGTGTGAGTTAACGCGGCTCTTCCAGGACTTTTTCTCTACTGTACCCTGCGGTGGGACGGTGAGATGGCGAGGAAAGCGGCAAGCGGTGTCGGGGATGGAGAGGGTGGGGGGGAACGCAATGCAAGGGAGGGAAAGGTGACGCAACCCGTAATAATAGCAAAATTTCAAAATTTCCTATGTTTTGGGGTCAGGTCAGCGGAAACACTGTGACAGCAGGTGGTGGTTATCGCCTACATGTCTTAGTAGTGCGGTTGAACACACAAAATACTTCTAAATGCCATGAACTGGGACCCCGTGAGGGGGCGTCATGGGGGAGGCTAAGATATTCTCCGGATTAAAGACAGAGACGGTATTCAGCAACAGCAGAGAACTGCACGTGCCAACCAGGCTGCTACCTTGCCTCGGAGTCCTGTGTGTGTGGTGCCTGGTGTGTTACTTCGAAAAAGTGGCCCTGACCGAAAAATTGTGAACAAGTTTCCACGAAACGAGCCTCCCTCCGCACTTGTTGTGGAAAATGTTTGTCCTTGCTGTAGTAGGGAAATGGCGAGACTGTCGGGAGCGTTCCTCAGAACGATAGATTTGAAATTCTGAATTGTCCTTCTGGATTTTTTCGGGTCCGAATTTGTCCGGTATCTGCTGCCACGAATTCAATAGGTTGCGTAAGGTATCACGCCCCCTGGACCGATTTTCGAAACTGGATATCTCGGCAGGAAACGTGGTGACGGTGCCGAAAACGGCGGCGTTGGAACGGTCTCGTCGAGAGCTTTCCGACCACGAATACTTCAATTTCGGCATCCTCTTCGTCGTGGAGTAATCGAGCTTTGAAACTCGGTCCAGGGGGTGTGATATATTATGCAACCTATGGAAACGTTTGGGGCACCGTTTCACGACGGGCAAGGCGAAAGAAACAAACAAGCGGCAGTGTAGTCTATGTAATGGTATTTGACCCCTTCCTTATTCGAACTGCGATCGCGATCGTGGCTGCTGCTGCTGCTGCTGAAAAGTCCGCCCGCGAACATGCAAGAAGGCGTTCGGCGAATCCTCATCAACACGGAGCGAACTGCGCGAAGCATTCGAATCATCATCATCAGGAGTGTTGTGCGGCGACAAAGGGACCGGGGTCGAGACAGCAGAGTCGCTGCTACCTCGCGGCTCATCAGGAGCCGACATGCTGAAGCAGGGCCAAGGCTGTTGCCCTGCCGCTATTCAGCAGACTGCAAAAAAGCGAAAAAAATCAAAATCAATTGAACGCAAGAATCAAGCAACACGACCAAAACCAACAACGCCAGTGTAATGGTATTTGACCCCTTCCTTCAGAATCAATCACCTTTGAGCTGTGTGGAACTCTCTTGTCCGACCACAGTAGCAGGTTGTTGTTGCTTTCCGTTGTTCTCTTTCTCTTGATTAACGCTTTCCAAGCCAACTCACAATATCCCACGCACACGCGATCATAGATCACCTGTACGCACACACTGAACAGAAGGGCACATGTCTCGGCATAAAGCCCTGATCTAGCATGACGTCACGTCTCATCATCCGACGGCGCCAAATAACCATGATCAACCACGATCACTTGTCTACCTCCAAATACCACAACATCTACCCGTTGCGACACAGCAGTAGACTATTAGAGGGTTTTCTTGCGCGATCGTATTTTCATGTTTCCTGTGAAGAAAATTAAAATTTCTCGTGGTTGCGTTGGCGTGTTTCGTCATGCCAACCTTGTATATAGATACTGCTGTAAAGAGTGAAGAGTGGCGGCGTCGCGGCCCTTGATGGTGAGTGCGTCAAGCCTGATGCCTTACCTACAGACCCGAATCCGTTCCGCTGGAGCATAAAAAAATAAATCCATCATGCCTTTGGGTGACACTCTGGGGGTGTGACCTTGGGGTGAATAGTCTATGGGGCCGGATGCAACCGAATTGAACGATCGCCCTGTGCACTTGTTGAGTTCACGCAAGTTTTGCTGGGTGCAGGAGCACACGTGATGACGCCAGAATTTGTGCCAACCACAAAACAACGGGTGCCTGCCGCCGCAGCAGCAGCAGCATTCGGACGCAAAACAAAAAACAAAAAACGAGGCAGCGCGCGGGTTTGGGTCGTTGGCCAGGCCGCGAGCCACCAGCCCAGCAGTATAATATGCACTATTTGTTGCACTGGTAGCCTACCACTATACAAAGTTCCGTGAGGAAAAGGGTCGCAACACACTACCACCATGCACACGGCAACAAAAAGACGGAGTCTTAAGGAATAATAAAAAGACGGAGTCTGCTACAGCAAGCAGGCACTGCTGTAGAATCTCGCCGCGTTCTGATGCCGCCGATGGTTTTCAGTTACAACATGGTTGTCGAAGCGAAGTCGGACGCGATCAACTCTTGACAACAAGGCCGAGAAATTATGAGACGGTTTCACACAGCATCCTTCATGTCGGCGGCGCTCGAAAATGGCCTTCACCCTGGTAGCAGCAGGGTGTGTGCGCAATTACGCTGCTTGCACAGCAGTCGGCTGCTGCCACGACGCCACGGCTGCTGCCGGAATGCCAAGTGAAATCTAAACCTTGTGCAACTTGCAACTTGGAACTGTGCGTCGCTGCTGGTTGACAGGTGCGCCATCAGGAGACGAGGTTCAACGGCTTAGCAACGCACGCACATCGAGAGGAGACTTGAAGCCTGCCCGACGAGAGCAATTTATTCTTTGTGTTGTCCAACTTGGCTGCCTGTGCTGGCCATCAGTAGCATTTGGTGTGCCGGCTGGTGCACGGAGTTCTCACAACACAACAGAGATAAGGGAAAAACAGGCATGAGGTGACATACAAGGTTCACCTTTGGCACAGCAGCCCGGTTCGGCTCCTCCTCACCCTCTCGCTGCTGTTCTCTTCGAATCGTCGCACACGAAGCTCTAGGGTCGGTCAACTCCCCATCGAGGTGAGCGCGTTTGCTCCCCTCTGTGCTTGTCTGTGTTTGTTGTGCTGCAGTTTTTTCCTCACCCTCTCAGAGATGGAGGAAAGAGAGAATGCAGATCGGCGAGGGGCGCGGTGCAAAATAGGAATTTGTTTTCGGAATTATTGATTGGTTGGTCCAAACGTCTGCTCTTCTTCTTGGTCATGCTGTACGCTCTGTCACCTCCCGAGGCTTCTTCGCCCTCTCTACCCTGCTGCTGTTGCAACACCCGGCTGATGGTGATCCACGAGCGCGCAGCGAGCGGCGAACAAGCTGGAGGCTGGGCTGTTGCGCTCACGCACCACCGCTGCGGTTGCATGGCGCACACGCAGTCCATTGCCCGGTTGCCGGTTGCCGCCGCGAAGATGAAACCGACACGTCACGTGCACAATTCCAACTGCAATATTCCTCAGATCCTCAGATCCTCAGATAGATGTAACGGAACAACAACAGCGGCCAGCTGTGTATACCATATAAGGTAGGCATCTCTCATGTCACTCACCCGCACACCGGCACAAGCACCGATTGTTGCGGCATCAAGTAGTGGGAGCACCTCGATCCTTATGAAGCGTAGACGTATTGGGCTAGGGATGATGCGTATAGTTTACATACATGCAGACTATGTTGAAGAGAGCTCGCCGTCTTGAAGCACTTGTGTGATCAAGCTGTACCGCAGCAAGTCTACTCTGTACACACATATCCATTGATGTACATACAAGTAGACGAGATGCCTGATTCATGGTTTCTTTCTTGGACTCTAGTGAGGCCTCCGTCATCACCTGCGTGCCTGCGTGGTCTGCCCATTGGGCCTCTCAAGCACCGGCGGTCCCTGCTCACAGACGACTCGCGCGTCATCAATGCAAGTCCACAGGTTGTAGCACAGTAGTGTTTAACGTTAGCAGTAGTACCTACCGTCTGTATCATCGTAGGTCGCGTAAGATACCACACCCCCTGGACCTGTTCAAAAGAATAAGGATACATGTATGCAATACGTCGAAGTGTAGGCTACTTGAAAACGTACATACATTTGACTTTTTGAAATCCTAATCCTCTGTGGTGGGGTGGTGTATTCGAGTGTTGGAGCTCGGGTAACGAGGCGCGGTATCATCCTATGCGACCTCGCAAACGAGTATATGCATATATGCATACGCGTCATCACGCGGTACGTGTCCAGCCGCTGAGAAAATAATGGAGCGTCTTGCTTCCGAGGGCACTACCTAAGTCTACGTATCTACGTATCGTGTGATTGTAAGAGCCCGGACTATCTATCTGGTAGCACTGCGCTGCATCGTCCCCACAGGGAACATTTGACAGCAGCATCATCAAGGCACCAGAAGTGCAGACGAGATAAAGTCCTGTCGCGATTGTCGACGCCCAACAGACCCCCGATACCTCCCGCTGTAACACTGCGCTCGCACTCCTCCTCCTGCACTCGCAGGCAAGAAACTACAGCCGGCTGCCTCCCAACTGAAAGATGCACACTTGGTGATGAGTGGGTGTTCGTCGCTCAAGAAGGAGAGCACACGGTGCATTGCTGAGGACAAAACAAAAGGCGAAACCATTACAATAGTTCGCGCATGCACTTGCGTATGCATACAAGAAAACGGTCCTACATTTTTTTTTTTCACCCATCATTGGACTCTGTCGTCTGCCCCTCTGGCCCCCACATCCTCCACTTCTACTAGCTAGACGACCCACCCGGGGTCACGTAGGAGGGGGGGGTTGGACCTCCTCCTGCGGTTCCTGCCTGAGATATTTATATCGCGAGAAGGGTACAGCAATCCCTTCCCTCGCGACATATGAAGTCGATCTAGTTTGCGAGCTTTGCAGCGCGTCGCTTCCAACTGAGACCAGGATTTATTTAGTGAGAAAAATAATTATCTTTGCCGGGATTCGAACCCATGACCTGGCCCTTACTAGGCTGCGAAGGTACCCACTAGACCACCGTGGCGACCGGCCCTACATGTAAGAGGTACATTAGCAGTGCCGGAAACATTCAGGCAACATTATGCATACATACCACTAGACGTTTTCTTTGAGCAAACTGCTGCGGGGCGCACAAATTGCCTTGCACTATGTAGTGGCCTTCTTCGTAAGAAGGAGCATCCCATGACCAAGCATTGCGCCATAATCAGAGTCACACCGGTCACATGGCGAAGGGATCGCCGGCAAAAGCAACGGACGACGCAATACAAACAACAAGCGCCCGTCAACTTCCTCCAGCCCAGCGCAACAGCAAGAGCCCGTTCATTTGTTGCTCAAACGGAACACCTAGAGTAGCAGCACCGAAACCATAAAATCGCACCCCCCAGGTCATTCCTCACAAGGTCCAGACACCGAAAACGCAAGCTCTTCGCACTCACAAGCCTTCCTTTCCTGCTGCTCGAAAACAACCGCAAAAAACGTTACAAACACGCCGTGCAACGCACATGAAAAAACAAGATTACACCGCGGACGAAGGAGCGGTGGCCTCCCCTGCGGCCCCTCCCCCTCCACCCGTCGGTAGCTTTCCCGCACACTTTCCAAGCAGCCCTGCGACCGCTAGGGTCCCTCGTGCTGCCCCCTGCTTCTTCCCGACGCTCTTCGGCGACGCCCCTTTACCCTTCCCGCCCTGCTTTCTAGCAGAACCACAAGCGCCTCCACCTCCTCTTCCCCTACCCCGTCCCCTCCCTCCCCGTCCAGCCTTCTTGGGGGTAGCCGAGGGCAGCGACGCCGGGGAAGCAGCAGCGCTGTCAACACTTGTGTTGCTGTTATTGTTGCTATTGTTGTTGTTGTTCCCAGCCGCCGATCCCCCTAGAATACCGCCCCCGGGACCGAGGGAGTTCCACTTGTGGAGGGCTTGCTTGCGCTTCTCCAGCTCGCCCATCGAGGGTCCTCGCACGACGCGGACGTTCGCGAGAGAGCTGTACTCGAGCTCTTCCTCGCCTTCGCGCAACTCCCGGTCTTCCTCCGCTCCGCCGACCTTCCCGCTGCTGGTACTCCTGGCTTTGTTTCCTCCGTCCGTTGTTGGTTCCGGCGAGGCCTCAGCGGCAGCGGGTTCCTCCTGATGTTGCGCAGCGCTGCCGCTTTCCTCTTCTTCCTTCCGACCATCGGAACCACCACCCTTACTAGCTGCTACCGCCGCTGGGTCTTCCATGCCCTTCGAGTTGCCACTAACCCCGCCCTGGTTGTGCCCATTACTTGTCGGTACCCTCCCCTCCTCGGTGTTGGACTCAGTAATGCCGCTACTGCTGCCCTGTTGCTGTTGGCCGGCTGTGTGGCCCTTCGTACAACCGTTTACGAGACCACCGCTACCGCCACCTCCGCCATCCTTGTTGTCATCCTCGATCGATGCAGGAAGCAATCGTACGAGCCCAGAGGAAGTGTCAAAGGCAGTCACCTGAACAGGAAATGATACCGCCGCCGCCGTTTGATAGGGGGGGGGCGAAGGACGTGAGAAGGGAAAAGAGGAGACGGACAAGCGGTGGAGGTTAGAAATATAGTTCCTGTGATCGGTCGCTCGATCCAACACCTTTTTTCTGTTGGGCACACGATTACTCCACAGAAAAATGTTTTCATCGACTGATTTCCGGCTTCGGGACCGTTGACGCAAGTTGCCCGGGTGCCCGTCAACATTCCAGACGAAAACCATCCATACCCCATTCCAAACATGGCTATCGTTTCTCAAAAGATACAGAAGTTCGGTGAGAGCCAATAGCAATACCCCACTTTGGGCAGGCCGACGGAAACACTACCAATTATTCGAAATATTTCATATTCTACGAGAATACACCTGATTGGTTTGAGAGCGAACGAAATAAGAAAAGAGAGACTTGAAAGCCCGTCACCTTGCCAAAGCTCGCGGTGCTTTTCAAGCCTCGCTGTTCGTATTCTAGTGTTTAAGACGTTTGCTCAGAAACTAAAGGCGATGCGGATCCGGGATGTCGGAGGCCGAGCGCGAAACACCTCATGTACCCAAGCCAACCCGCAACACCACCAACAACCACATCCTGTCACTCAGTCTGAATCCAACCGTAGGAACCCAAGCCGAAGACATCGAGCGGATGGGAACCCAAGATATGTAAAAAATGAGGCAGCACGGGCAGACATACCACCGCGCAAAGTGGACGGACCTCACCTCCGCGGTCCGGTATGGCGAGAGCTCGGGTGTCCACGTCTCCTCGTTGAGGGATAGCGTCTTGAACGCGAGGACGTCGCACACTTGCGGACGCATGTCTGTGGGGAGCTCTTCATAGACGACGTACCTGGGCGCAGAAAATGAGCAGGAGGGGCGGGGGAGAGGGGATGAGTCACAACAAATCACACGAAGCTAGGATGAGCAACCATACATTGCGCTGGTTCGCATATTGTCAATGGTTCCAGGCTTGGTCAAAGGCGGTCACGTGAGTCGACAAACATATTGTACCTGGACGAGAAACAACAGCAGCACAATGCAGTACAAGACCGAGCGTCCACATTATTATTCTCACCGAGCGTCGCCGTTCTCGACCGATCCAGCAGCTGCTGCCTCCGCCGCCGCTTCCCCAGCCTTGCTCTCCACCGATGCGATCACCTCATAGTCCTTCTTCCAACCCCCCCGCCCCCTCTTCTTCGCGCTGCCGCCGTCACCGTTCGCGGTGTCGCCGGTGCTATGCCGCCGGGTGTTCTTGTTCGCGTACCCCCCACCGGCAGCCCCGCCCCCCCTCGTCATCCCCATGCCCCCGCGCCCAATGCCTCTGCCGGGGCCAAACACGCCCCCTCTAGCCGTGGAATCCCCACGACCACCAGCACGGCCTTCCGGTTCCAACGGTGCTATCGCGGCTGCGGCACCGCCACCGTTGCTCTCGCTCTCTCCCTCCGGTCTCCTGAGTTGTCCCACGATTCGACCCAGCGGTCCTCCCCAGTGTTGCTGGCCGCCCCCAAGGCCGCCGCCACCGCCGCCGCCTCTACCTCTACCCCCTGCCCCCCTGCCTGAGGGTACCAAGTTGGGTGTGGCATTACCTACACCGCGCATGCCCCCTCCGTCGCCGCGGCCACCGGTGGTCCCTCCCGCCGACAGGGTCGGTGATCGCTTTCCCTTGGCGTTTTGTTTTGCACCTATTGTCTCCTTTGCCTTCTCCTCCTCGTCAGACGATGACGACTCATCGCTGTCGCTGCTGTCACTACCGCTGCTGCTGCTGCTGCTGCTGCTGCTGCTGTCGTCGCCATCTCTTGCTGCTGCTGCTGCGGCGAGAGCATTGGGTTCCACCTGCCCGAAAGTATGCCACGTATAGCAAGCACGAACGAGACCAAGCAGTGTTTACCCCGAGATTGAGATAACCTCATGTGCGTTTCGACGTTTACAGGCGTGTGAATTTTAGTGTGTTCTGTGATTGTTTCCAAGACAAAATTCTAAAAATTACTTGAGACCTGGCGATCCATCTGTGTACTTGGAAGCGGAACGTCGATCTAAATGTAATCATGACTCATGTACCGTCCATCGTTGAGGTGGTTACAGACAGGAAACAGCCGAACATCTGGTGGAAACAACACCAATCTCTAGAGGTGTGAGGCGAGTGAGACGTGGCATAAGGACAAAATTCAACTCGCAATATGTGGGGGTCGCCAACGACACGCCCTTTTCTTCTATGAACAGACGAAACCGCTATGCATACAACGACAAGTAACTCTGGGCACACAGAGCGCGATTGGTTGCGCCAAAATATTGCTGCAGAGCGCGATACACGTCCAATGTGGTTCACGACATTTGACTGCTTGGTATTTTCAGAAGCTGGAATACACTCAACAGAACGCTTCTGTCGCAAACAATCATGTCCAGAACGGACCGCTGCACACATCGCATCTACAGCAGTAGGCTTTCCACTTAATAGTGTCCTAAAAAATTCACTTCTCACCTACTTCGCGTGGTTCCCTTGCTCGGATCTAGAGGGAAAAATAGGCGTCGCACTGGAAACATAAGTATGCATACCTCCTTCGCCTTGCGGCTTGTCGTCTTCTTCGCCTCGGCTTCCTCTTCCTCCTCCTCGCTGTCGCTTTCTTCCTCTTCGCTGCTGCTACTACTGCTGCTGCTGGAGGACGAGGATGACGAACTGCTGCTGCTGCTGCCGCTGCTGCTGCTGGACGATGGTGACGACGACGAAGACTCGTCGGACGAAGACGAGGAGGTGGACTTGGCACCGCGAGTAGGGACGTCCGCCGGTAGCGTTTTCTTCTTCTTCTTCTTGGTTGACGACATTGCCACTGCCTCTTCCCCTCCACCCGCGGGGTAGACCGTTGCTGCTGAGAGCTCGCCGGGTTTCTTAGCGGCGACAGCAGTCGCACCCTTGCCGCCAGGAGCAGCTCGGCCCCCACGCTTCGCTGGAGCGCTTTCACCAGAAGAGGAAGAATCGTCATCGGAGGGAGAGGAATTCTGCGTAGCCGCCGCCGAATCAGCGCCCTTTCCCGTCGTTCTCTTCCTCGCCGCCTTCTTGGCCTTCTCTGCTGTGGAGGAAGAACCGACCTTCCGCCTCTTTCCCGACGAGGCGCTACTCTCCACGGCGGGAGAGCCAGTGTGGGACCGCTTCCTGCCTGCGGCAGCACCAACGGCAGGTGCTCCTCGTTTTTTGCCTCCCGCCTTATTCCCGACACCGCTCACAGCCCCCTCGTTGCCACCTCTCTTTTTTGCCGCACTCGCCTTCTGTTTCTTTTTGGTCGAGCCGGCGCCGGTGCTGCTGCTGCTGCTGCTGCTGCCAGCGATGGCTGTACGGCCATGCTCTCGTCCGTCGCTCTGCTGGAGGGTGAGCGTCACGACGTCGGTTTCGCGCAAGACATCCAGGCTTTCGGTCGGAGGCAGCACGAACCCATCTAGGGTTAGCACGAGGGAAGAAGAACGCGCCTTCTTTCCCTTCCGCTGCTTGAGCTGCCGCGCGAGGTGGTGTGCCAGGTCACCGATGACGGTGAGACGGGGAGGGATGAATATCCACCGCTTGGTGAGGGTGGGGTTAGAGCTCGGCACGCACCCCGCATCTGCTGTGAAAACCACTCGGATCCGACGTGGGGAGGATGCCACCGCGGGGGCAAGAGCCACGGTATTCATCTTTGCGAATATCACTGATTTAGACGCTACGCTTATCACACATCAGAGAGAGTGGAGCAGTAAGCCAGTCATGAGAGGGGGTGGGGCTCCGTCATCTGCTTTTTCGAGTCTGTCCACCACCATCCCGCATCCAGTGGTTCTCCCGAACCGACACGTTTTCCACCGCAAAACTTGCATTTGATTCTGCTCGGACATCGATTCTCTGCCCTACCCCCATGGTGCCCTGTTCCGGTTTTTCATATTCATAATCGCTGTTGCAGACGGCATGTACAGCACAAAAAAAATAGCGCTGGCTGCTGCTGCATCACGAACAACCGCTGGATAACCTTGATGGAAACGGCAATCTGTTGTACGTGTGCGTACACAGCAGCAGTACTTCGGATGTCCAGACGTGCATGTTTTCTCACTCGAGATGACATGTGCTGAAACTACAGCCAGGCGTCTCCCTGAAATCGCAAAGAAAAGCCCCACAATCGCCTTCCCCCCCGTGCACAAGGCTCAACACCATCGACGGCAGCGACGACGATTCGAAAGGACAACCCCTGCCATACACCGACACCCAGCGAGTGTCGTGGACCAGGCGGCGATAATCGGAAGCCGAAGCACCGGAGAACTTCCCGATTTGAAATGTCTTTCCACAGCCGTCTCAGATGCGGCATTCTCGTGCGGCGGAATGGGACCGAAAACGAGAGAAGGTTACCGTGGCTTGGTTGCTCCAACCTCCAACAACGAGGGGTTGGGAGAAGAACATTGCTCCCGCCCACGCAATGATCGAGGCAACGGCGTGGGTCGGCCGCCACAAGCACGGAAACAGCGTCGAGGTAACCGACAGGGAAAGGGCACTGGCCCTGTCAAGATCTGGTGCTGCCCGAGCACGTCGGCGCTGCGCGAGGAGGCGTGTGCTAACCTAAATGCGATGACCAGACCGAGGCTGTGGCGAGAACAAGCACAACGGTCAGAGAAGCTGGACGCCGGGTATCGTCAACTCGAGAGGCTCAGAGAAAGTTACAAGTCAGACCGAGAGGTTGGTGCGGCGCAACGATATTTGGCAGGGGTCTTCGCGCACTCGTTTTGTTGGTCCAGGGACATAACGTAAACCACACAACCTTGCACAGGACAACAGTGTGGGCCCGGAGAAAAAACATGGTATTCAGGTCCAGACTCGAATCTCGTGTTCCGGGAAGAAACACCAGCAATGGGAAGGGGCGCCGCAACAACCACGCACCCCCCCCCAGATGAGCAGTTTGATGTGCAGGTGGAGGAGGAAAGTAATCATTCGGGCGTGTGCTACTTGTTTCAGGCGCGTCCCAAGCTACATCTTGCATCTTACGAGTTGGGGGAATATATTTCGCCCCCGTTTGTTGGTGGGATGTTTCTGTTCCCTGAGAGCTTCCAACTCAGTTATTTTTTGTGCGAGTCTATTTCTGTCCAACATACATGTAGTGTTTCCTGGAAAACATGATGCGCGCACTGGCCTAAGCGTATGCCTCTCAACCACTGCAAACATTTTTTTTCCCCTCCATTAACACTAGGTTGAGGCCTCAACAAGCAGAATTTAAAGACTTTCTCGGACGTAGAAACAACCTGAATGCAACAGAGTCAAGGATATATGCCGTGTGATGTCAAACACAAGAAATATCTCAGGACCTACTGCTTGTATTGCTACCGCTTATTTTGTTACTGCTTGATCAACACGGATAAATGTAACCTTCGCTTGTGCAAACAATGGAAGCGGGGAGTTGCCGGCGGCAAGCGCCGCTTCCTGTCCTTGCTGCGAGAAGAGATGAGCGAGGACCAGAGGGAACGGTGGATGAAGCGCAGAGCGCTAATGAGGGCTGACCGCTTCACGGTGGGGCAGAGGAGAGAACTGCGGGAGTGGTGAGAACGGTTTTGTTTGCATGGTCTCTGTCGGAGTGCGATTAAACAGCAACGTGCGTGATTCCCGATTGAACGTGTGCATGATCACTTGTGCGAATGAAGCTTGGGTGTGGCAATGCCGTTGTAGCAGCGACAGGGACACACACCTGACTTCATTCATAAAGCGTCCGCCAGAGCCTGGCTTTGAGGGAAAGTAGAAGGTTTGTTATTGACAACATGAAATTATGGATTTGGTGCTAGCGATTCTTTATCGGTTGTATCCAAAATCTTGGAAGCCTTACGGCCTGCTGGTGGTAACCACCATCATTCCAAGATGGGCACACGACATTCGTCATATGTTCACACCATATACCAACACCTTCCCAGACATAAAAGAGTCAGGGATACGATGGCGAGAGGCCAACGAAAGGCGCAAAGGGCAGCGTGATTACTTGTGGTCTCTCTACGGCACGTATCGTACTTCTTTTACTGAGCAGTTCGCACTCGTTGCTGCAGGTTTGACTGCCTGGACAAGGATGGGTCAGGAGAGATAGACTCATCGGAGTTGTCTCATCCGCTGCTCTGTACCGGCCTTGCGCGGAGCGCCCTGGAAGTAGGACGGCTGGTGAGAACGTTTCGATGGACTCAGCCTACTAGGCCATTCAGTCAGCGGACCGGGTGATCCCGCCGGCTGGGCCATAAAAAAACCAGAGCAACACACACCCACAGACCGACGTTCTAGCCTTGTTAGTTGTTCGCACGTTGTCGATGCCATTTCCAAGCAACACTTCCAATGTTGACTGGCTTTGGAGGGACTCACTTCACGGCAGAAAGTGCCCCCCTTCGGACAGAAAGAAAGCCGTATGCGGAGCATCGCAGATTTTCATGGGTCGTCGTCCATCCTCTCGATTAGAGACGACCTTGCTGTTTAGTAGAATGACCACAGCGCCCCCCTCAATACGCACTGCGCACGATGAAACTTCGCTCCGCAGTGAAGGAGCGCTTTCGCGAGACAAAAACAATTGTGCAGTTGTCGTAGTGCGGGTCCTACTCTCGTCAGTTGTAGTGCTGCATCCTGTGCCAGCTATAAACTCCCTACGGAGGGGAGAGCTTCCTGTAAGAAAGTGCTCGCGAACAAGAGACGCACGCTCGTGACGGTGTTCGAAGGGTACAACTGGTTGTCTCTTTGAAGTGGAACATTTTCCAATGCAACCGAATGGTTTGACACGACCCCGAATTTGTCCCGCGTTCCGACCAGGTGCGGCAAGTGGACAAGGACGGATCGGGGGAGATAGGGTTTCACGAGTTCCTGGCCATTCTCCAGCCCAAGGGGGCAACCGCCGGAAAGAGCGCCATCGATAAGATAACCCATCTCCAAGATGTCAAAAAGGTAGGCGGAAAGGAAGGATGCCCGCCGCTAGCACGCCCTACTGACGTGCTGGCGCCATGTGTCCTGTGTGGTGTCGCGTACGCGCTACGGCGGATTCGAGTTCTAGAAGCAGGGTCGGGCAGATGGACAGGGTAGATCGTTGCACGCTACCTTTTCTCATGCTGCGTACTCCCCAAATCACAGCTGGAGGAGCGTTGAGGGAATAAAATCTGCTGTCTATATAAGAGAAATGTTCATATGGGGGTAGGGGTTTGCTCCACAATATTTGCACAACCACGGTAACGCTCGAATACTAGGCGTGACTCACAGGAACCTGCTTCAAAGTGTAGCCACGGTCTTGAAGCGGCAGCCTGCATCACTGTAGGGTATACGCTGGAAAACAACTGTGTCTTGAATTCAGCGATTCCCTCGCGGGGTGTGGCGCAAGACAGACAGGGCGCCGGCGTTTGGACGGCCCTACAAGGCACTAGGGTCAATAAGATCACGCCTTTTATTGACACACTTGTGTCTCAACATTGGTCTTCCATGTTGTCCTCTCCCGCGCTCGTTTGAACACGTACATTGCGAAGCCAACAACCCGCGGCCGGTAGCAACATTGACCTCGACAGCTGGAGAAAATATTTCCCCACCAACACTGTCTCCGGGCGACTCAGTTTCTACGACCGTTTTGCATTGGCTGATTCCGCAAAACCCCTCCTCTCTTGCCTTCGCTCGACGGCCGACTACCCCCGCGCAAGGCGCATGGTAGCGATATGCAGACCGTGGTGGCGATAGAGCGGAGATCATTGCTCATGAAAGAGATCCTCGACGAAGCCGCGTTCAGGAGCTCTGCGCTGGATGATGTCGAGGAAAAGAGGTGCGGTCGATTTCAACGACAAAGGGACCCTTGTGGGCAAGGAGGCTAGGCGCAAATACGTGAGCGTGCGTGCGCCGACGCCCATGGGCTGTGCACATGCTACCCTTGCGGGGAAGCTAAACAACACTCGCGCGAGGGTTTGCGGGTTGCGAATGGCCATGTGGTTCCTCGGCAAGTTCCACTTTACAACACAAACAGGCAGTTCGGAAAAGCCTACGAAAAACAGCCAAGAAGGAAGAACAGCAGTAGCCGCGCCGATGAAAAAACTGTCTGGGGTTTTAAGGGGCATTTTTTCTTCTTTGGTGAGGGTCTCTAGCGCACAGAAAGTGTTTGGAAAGATATCCAGAGTTCACAATCGAATCGGCACACCCTTTCGACACCAAATGCGCATTTCCCCACGTCCATTCAATCGCTTGAACCGAGTCGAGTACGTGATGCACTTGTTTACATGTTCTGTTTCTCTTCGTGCCGTAGGTCACGGCTGATGCGGTCTATGCTTACCATACGGTACTGCCTATCTCACACGAAAACATTTTCACTGCGTTGCATGCCAATGCGAGAAGCGTTCGATTTTTCCCTGTTCATGTGTATTCATGCTGAACACAACGTACGTCTCGTACGAATAGTGTCACTTCTTTTTTTTTTAGGGCGTATTGAAAAGCGGTCCTCTGTCTCCTGAAAGCCAAAGCGACGGGTTCAAGGAAGGAACCCATCGCCTCTGACCACAAATCCGATGGCTCAGGCTGTTTTATGCTGGCAACAGGAACAAGAAAGGTAAGAAGGAAGGACAACATTCAACACGGCACACCTGATGCTGTCGCTGCGCTATCCAGGGCAATAGCCCAATCGAACGGCGACCATCGGGCCTTGAAAGAGCTGAAAGAACTGGAAGCGAAGCTGGAACGTCGCAGAGTGGAGAATAACCTCTTCATCCAGGCGGTCAGCGACGCCACAGACTTCCAACAGGTCTGCATGTAGACCGGATGACGAGTGCGTCGTCGAGTTCAGAAAACCGTTGCAGTAGGCCATCAAACGAAAACGTGCTCATTCGGCGTCGAACAGTGCCCGCACGCCCCACAATCACGGCACAATCACGCAGCACAGGGGCGACGGCACGCGAACGCACACAAACGCAACGCCCGCACGATCCATCGCCACCCCATCCGCAGGAGCGGGAGAGACTCGACAACAACGTCCTGCACAAGGCCCGCAGCCGTCGCGAGCTTCTCCAAACCTCCTTCGCCAAGGGCACCAGCTTTGTCCTTCCCTCGCAGTCCAAGTCCAACTTCCCCCACACTAACACCGGAGAAGCTTGTACTCCGCTGCCGGGTATCCCATCGGCCCGATGTCCCGAGCCGAGACGAGCGGGTTGCGGCGCAGGAGGGAGCGGGGCCGGCGGAAACGGCCGGGCTCACTTCGTCGAAAGCTGCAAGGGTGGCGAGAGTTGTGCCACCAACTCCGCCGTCGTTTACAACAGCGGTGATAGAGAGTCCCGGACCTTGGTGGCACAGGAACACCACCTTCTGCAACGGAGGCTCCACCACCATAACTTCAAGAAGAGCGCTAGCGCTAGGAACTTGGCGGGAACTGACGGTATGGCCGGGGTAAGTTCCCCATCTCCGTATCTTGGTGGCGGTGTCGGAAGCGGCGATGATGGTTCCATAGGAGAAGGCCATGTTGTCGTCACCACTAGCGTAAAAGTGTACTCCAGAGACAAAGAGGGATCTTTAACACTGTCCGCTGGACATATGACCGACGGTCCTGCAGCGTCAACCGTTTCCTGCACGCAAGCGGAGGTGGGTTTTGGCGGGGGAAGTGGCAGTACCACAACAGGCTGCCAAGGCAGCACGGACGACACGTCTGCTCGCGTCGGACAGGACGGCAATTCACCTTGCCCTGAACTGTCGGGCAGTGCTAGTCTTGACTGCAACAACGTCGGGGACCGCGGGGAAGGGCAGGACGAGGCGCCTCGTAGCGGTGAAGGGCAACACCTTGCTTCGAGCGGAAAAAGAGTTTATTCCATCGACCAGGGTTCGACGACGATATCAGCGATAGGATTGACGGAAGGGTCAGCTGCAGCAGCAGCAGCCGCAGAAGAACAAGCGGCAGGGGTGGTCGCGAAAGAACCGGCCGAAAGAGAGAACATTTCATCTTCGGCAACGGTACCACGGACATCTGTCGGGGACACTCCTTGCCGTCCTGACGTGGAAGATGACGCGGTGGTTGAAGTGCGAAAGGGATGGCCGCCAGAATCAACTACAACCGGCTTGGACTGGTACAAATGCACCCAGCTTAGTGCTGAGGCAAGCAGGGCCGTAGGGGGGGTGGCGGCCGCAGGCCGACGTGTGGGATCCCAAGGCTCCACTTCGATAGCTGGCTGCGTGTGAGCATCACTCTTCGCCCAAGGCGTAGACTCCGGTAGTAGGGGTTCGCGAAAATTCACCGGGGCAATTGGAGGAGGGGTTGTGGCGATTCTCTGATGAGTGGTGCTGCGTCGCTTAACCTCCGTGATTAAGTTTGCGGCTCGACTACAGTACTTGCCTGCTAAGTGGAAATCCCTCACCCATCATGCCAATATTGCCTTCGCTCAGCTGAACGGTTTCTTGCGTCTGGGATTTCATGCACCGGATACGAGAAACTTATGTTTTCCTTGTAGGCGGAATAGCGAGCTTCTGTTGCGGCCATACTGTAGTAGGCCAACAGAGTTTAGCAGAATCTGTTGCGGAGAGGATACAAGGCTGAGGTCTACAATAGGCTGTTACGGTATTGCTACCGCAATACGCCGTGCGGTCATAAGGTCTACGCCATTTGTCCCAATGTTCTACACCCTACACGAGATGTTTTCCAAGTGCGGTTGGATATTTTCCTCGTGACGATTTGCCTACTGTACATGTCACATGTACACCACGCTTGCTACAAGTCCCCGGAATGTAGCATAGACTAACTTCTTTTTTCATGTCCTCTCGTGCAAACCAAAACAACAACTGTTGCCTACCGGTAGGGTCGTCGATGAATTTTCATCAACGTCCGTCGACCCTATATAATCAGGTTACGGGCGGCTCAATGACCAAAGGGGAGCTCCTCCCCGAGCTCACCTCGCTTATTTTTCGCCGGCCTTGTGTGTGACACGCAGCATATGAGCTGTTCGTTGCAATGTTAGCGGTGTGAAGCAAGGTCATCGCGAACTGCCGCATACCATCCTCTTGAGAACGCCCCGGGGGCGCATACGCGCGTGGAAAGGACGCCCCCCGGCGCGTTCTCAGAGGTCAAAGTCTGTTGATGGAGCTAAGAGAACAACAAAATAATCACCCCGCAACATAAAAAGAGCAGAGATAACAACGAACACACAACGTGGAGCGAAACATCTCTAGGGTTGTGGGAGAGAAAATCGCCCCGCAATACCCGAGCCTTTCTCAGAGGGATGAATGGACCCAAACCAAAAACACACAGACAAGCCCGACAGGATTGATACACCATTGAGCAATGTCTGCCCAACTTGCCCAGCTACCGACAGGATTGGCTCAGATTGACTCGCTCAAGCAGCTAGAGGAGATCATCACCAAAGACAAGCTTGAAAAACATGTTTGTCAGACTGGCCACATGTGATGATTTGACACTCACACATAAAGGAGTCTACCTCTTGGAAGCAGGAAAGGCAGGAAAAACCGATGAAGGTGGCAACCCTGACGTGGAACATCAACCACCGTATACATGTTTCGATCAGCACTACCAAGTCTTTGGAGCTCAAGCCGTCCTGTCGACACGCTATGATTTCGGCTGTGCGTTGTGTGGTGGAGACAGACTTGCAGAAGATACCATCCAAGGAAGAGTCAGGGAAGAAAACATCCATTCGTTTCCAAGAAGCAAAAGGGAAGGGGGTTTCGTCATGGCTGACAACGCAAGGGCTTTTAGCAGATGAACGAATTCTGCCTGACCTATATCGGGAGTCAATCTGTCGTGTACTGGGGAGTCACGATCGAACTGACTGCGACACAGGCACTTTGCTGTGCGGGTGCATGGTCACCATGCAAGGAACCTTTGAGCCGGGCCCACTCCCTCGTCTGCACGAAAACCGGGGCATCAACACCCCTTCATAACAGGAACAGGATGGTTTCGCGTTATATTGAAGACATTACGCGAGTGCCACACGCCGTTCGCCGTTGAGGATTCTTCCCCATTTACCACAGGTACTGGTAGGGAAAAGGGGCTCTACAAGATGGATTTGATTTTCCCCCGAGGACTTCACGCAGGAGAGAAAAAAGAGAAGCTCTGCACCAAGTCCATTCTTGTGGATGCAACAATCACCAACCCATCTGCAAGTATGTAGAAGCATCGACAAGTCGATTCTAACACCTGGACCCGCCCTCGAAGATCGAGCTGCAGGTATGGCAAACCACTATGCGGGAACTTCAACCCGTCTAGATCTACCCTCTTTTCTGCTGCTTTTTCAACGTATGATGGTCATGGCCAAGGCACCAATCGATTAATCGTATTTAGGTAATCGCCAACCACCTACGAAGCATTTTGCAGGGGGAGTTTCGACGATGAAACCGCCTGGCTTCGCCTGAAGGCTTACCACAACAACAGAACACGGAGACGGTCCACTTTCGAGCTGGCTCGTTTTCTGTCGGTACGAACTTGTGATGGTTTTCAAACGTTATGGACTACTGATGGACCAATGTCCACCATGGTCAACAAGTGGGGATTTCAGGAGTAGTTCTGGTGAAAGCGATAACGATGGTATTGAGGGTAACGTTTTGTGTGACAGAGATGAAGGAAGGGGAAAGGAAAGAAATGAGAATGAAGGCGATGATGGAGGAAGAAAACATGGCGTGTAAGAGAGTACAGAGTGTGAGCAAGATAACCTTCCTCACAACAAATAAATGCCGCAGGACTGGACAGGATCTGCCAAAAAGTAGTGGGAATGTTGGCGACGACAGTGGCAGTAGCTAATGCAGGGAAGACGATGGAAGCAATCCAAACCGAACGCACTTTGGAAGTAGTAGCAGCCATGGTAAACACGTGCAGTTTTCTTCTGTTCTTGCTACGGCATCTGTGTTTAATCCCGATAGTAGCGAAGACTCCCCCATGACGCTCCGTCACAGGGTCCCAGGTCGTGGCCGATAGAGGCATTTTGTGTTGTCTGCCGCACTGAGACTGATGTATTTTCATTGGTCACCGGTATGCGCAGTGGATGCTACTAAGAAGGACGCATACACGCGGACAATTTTCTTAGATTTTGGATTTTGGATCCCCCCCCCCTGCAAGATTCTGCCATGGTCCAACGGCTAACCAACCGCCAACAACGCGGACACACGTGCAGCACTAACTGTCCGTGTTAGCGCCGAGAACCACGTACACCCGGTGCATATCTCCATGTACATGCATGTGCTTATCTAATACGTCGAAGTACGACGCAAACTCTCGTTTTCCTTGCTTTTTCCCTGGGTTGTAGGCACCACTCGCCGGGAACACAAGCAATAAACGCGGACCTCTCGCGGATGAAACTTACGACGTCGGCAACAACAACGGCGACGGCGGCGGTGACGATGACGGTGACGGCGACAGCGACAACGACAACAAAGATAGCAACAGCACCTAAACATTCCGGCGTCATGAACACGTGACTGCTTTTCTGTGGATGCCACATAGGGCAGAAAGATGCTGTGCAATAGTTGTCGACGATGTTAACCCCTTTGGGATGAAATGAGGCCTCCTGCTACGAAAAGCCTGGATACTCCACCAAGGGTTTCCCCGCGTTGACGTCCTTCGTGTCGTCAACGCGGCAGTCACGCAGAGAGCAACTACCACCCCGGAAATAAGTCGAATAAATACTAACACAGTTGGACTGGCGGGAAGGAAGGCTGTTATTCCTACCGTACTCTCCCCTCTTTTAGGGTTTGGAAGGCTTGCCACGAGTGGGCGCTCTCTCCAAGCCTCTTTGGAGGCGATCTGTTCTCATCCACGGAAGGAACCCCTTCGTTGGTTCCATGATGTCGACACTATTTCACTGCGGAACAACGGCGACCTTCGGCGACGATCGACGGGGCGACGGCGGCGCGATCGACGAAGTAAGGGGGCCCAAGGCCGCCCGATCGACCGACCGACCCAACCCGATCCAACCCAACGGCGACGAACGACGACGCGACGGCGGCGCGATCGACGGCGGCGACCCAACCCCAGCCCAGTCCCAACGCAACCCCAACCAAACGCAACCCAACCCAACCAAACCCAACCCAACCCGACACGGTCGGGTGAAGACGAACCCAACACCAGAGCAAGAAAACAACCCCCAAAACCCGCATGACTCCAACTGAACCGACTGCAACAGCAAAGGCGACACTTGAAACCAACACGCCCCAATCAAGCCCTCCGAAAGAAAGAACTGCTCGCCATAGCACAAAAATACTCCCCCGCAAACATGTAGAGAGAGGTGGCGCGCAGGAGCCGAGCGACTACGAAGTAGTCCGTACGAGCCAGGCCGCCCGATCTATCGACCGAGCGAAGGACTAACCAATCCAACCAATCCAACCCAGCCCAACCTACAGTAGTCCCACGGCGCCAAACAACGAGGCCACGGCGGCGTGATCAATGACGGCGTGGCCCAAGGCCGCCCGATTGACCGACCAACCGACCGACCCAACCCTACTCCACCCTACCTATCTTAACACAACCCGACCCCAACGCGACCGACGGACCGACCGACTACCCAACTCAACCCAAACCAACCCAACCTAACCCCAACCCCGACTGACCGACCGACCGACCGACCGACCGACCGACCGACCGACCGACCGACCGACCGACCGACCGACCGACCGACCGACCCAACCCACACCCTATCCAACCCAATCCAACCCAATCCCAAAACTACCCTACCGACCGACCGATCCAACCAACCCAACCAACCAAACCGAACCAACTAGCTAATCTACCCCAATCCAGCCAACCCAACCTCACTCTCCACGCAATCCAACCCAACCCAACCAACGAAGCCAAATGCAACCCAACCACACCCACAACCAACCACAACCACAACAACCCATCTCGCTCAA